CAAGGGAATAGGAGGTACCGGGGAAGAAACAGTGGCTTCAGCTTGCTCTGAGAGATCTAGGCCTAGTCAGGAGTCCGCGCTGAGCACGCATTGGTAGGAATACACGTATGGTTCTTACATTGTAGCCTCCTTTGTTCCTGCAAGAGATTTAGAGTCTGTCCTATAAGGGCAGCTCCAATGACAACTTATGGCTAGCTCAAAGCATATTGTTTCATATTTTAATAGAAATGAGAGTTGTGTAAAACGAAGCGAACACATCTATAAGATTCTGAATGAAGCATACTCTACTTAAGCATACCATCTCAACAAGCTGGTTGATCCACGGATATTTTTATCAAATTGCTTTTGTAACCAAGACACAGTTACATGCCATTGTAAATTGTACTAGTAATTTTATCATTACATATTAGAAGGTAGGCAATTTGAGCTCAAAAGCATACAGGTTTTTGCTGAATCGAACCAGTAACATCCGACATGTACTGTCCAGATTTATATTGGGGCTTGCAAAGGTGATCAGTTGTGTGAATATGAATATAGTCATGTAAATTACTGCTGTTGCGTGATTGATAGATTATAATATTAATGTTAATACCACTTCAAAACTAATATCATCCAAGGACACACAAAGCTTGATGCAACACAGATGTTCTAGGATGCATACTTCAAAAGGAAAGTAAGTTAATATCAATGAAGCATTTGCCATGCACCTAATAAACATGTGGAGTAGCAATCTACCTGTGCAGCGAATTATGAGAAGAATTAGCACAGAATTAATGCTGTACCTACCATGGTACTATTGGTGGCGCCGAGAGCTTTGCTCCTTTCGCCTTCACTTCCGCTGCACAGAACTTTATTTTACTTGATTGCCATTGTAGTGTAAACGAATCCAATAGTCATAGGCGCACCTTGTCACAACAACCCTCTACTTTGTGCATTAAGCTGGATGCAGTCAAAGCCTATCTATAATCCAGGCCTGGTGCAGTGGTGAGAGCTGTCTCACTGAGTCACCAGGTCGTGGATTCAAAGCAGCCTCTCCGCAGGTTTTGCGGGGAGAAGACTTGCCTCGGTTTTTCCCTTCCCCAGACCCCACTCATGTGGGAGCCACCGGCACTAGGTCTGCGCAGTCAAAGCCTATCTATAATCCGTAGCCTCATATTTTGACTACCAAAGCCTAAACATCATTGCCACCTAGCGTGTAAAAATAAACAAGGCATCAATCAAATCTGTAGTAGTTTGGTGAAAATTATTCGTACAAATTTAAATAAGCAACATAACCTTCTATACGGTAAGAAATATTGAGGAGCTATTTTAAATGTCTAGAGAATTTGATGGCATGCAGAAGTTTTTACATAGGTCTTGAAGGTGCCTACATATTATCTCCATCCAAGTAGTATTCGTAACTCTGCAAGCTTGAAATGGTAAGTTGCTCACCCAGCAACCACATTAAAGTACTGAAGAAAACAAAATAAAAGGAGTCACCTGGGAGTCTGCAGAGGCTAACCCTTACATTTGAGGGTTCTAGATCAAACAAATATTTATTTCTGAAAGATACGAACTTATGAATGAGTAGAGATAGACGACCTGACATTCTAGACAGTGATGCCACCATAAAAGGTTGCTTATATAATACAGGATGTATAGACGTATCACATTACACCAATACAAGATACTCCCTCACATGATGTAACCGCAAGCCAGAAGTGTATAAATGGTTCTTTCCCAAACATGTACTAGCCCATCTTCACCCATTACGAGATCAGGTAGCAAGATCCCCTGATTGTTTCATTCCCCAAACTTTCTCTTATTTAACATGCTAGCATAGCAGATAGGCGTGAAATCCACATAGACAAGTGAAGGTGAGAGAAGAAACAAAGGGGACTAAGAGAGCCATGGGGATAGGAGACACCGGGGAATAACAACAGCTTCTCAGAAGAATTAGCTTCCTTTGATAGATTTATGTTCAGCTCGGAGCCCATGCCAAACATGCTTTGATAACTATACTAGTGTGTTTCTTACTTCTTATGCCCCCTTTCACCTTCAACACTCAGTGTGGTTGGCAAGATAGGGTTGCCAAATATGGAAAACTTGAACTCACTCTGAAATTTTTGGACCATTCGACAACCACTAGTTCATGATAGTAACAATACCCAAATGAAAATTTCATCTTCCATATGCATCTTTGGAACTTGTCACTTTGATTAGAGATTCAGAGCCATTCCTTATGCTACTCGAGAGTTGTGTAAAACAAAGAAAAATGCCTCTGTAAGATCCAAACTGGAGCATAATCAACTTAAGAATACTATCTCTCCAAACTGGTTGATCTGTGGACATTTTGATCTGATTAATCCTGTCCTGAAGATGCAGTTACATACCATTGTAAATGATCCTGGTAGTGTTTATCATTACAATATTTGAAGGTATGCAATTTGCGTTCGGAAGCATGTAGTTGAAGTTTCTACTGCAACCGAACCAATAACATCCAATATGTACTGTCCGAATCTCTATTGGGGCTTCCAAAGGTGATCAGTTGTGTGAATATGATAATATACTATATAGTAATGTAAATTACTGCTGTTGCATCATTGATAGATTATAATGTTAATGTTGCACACCACTGCAAAATTAGTATCATCTAAGGGCGGGCCTGGTGCAAGCGGTAGAGTCTTACCGCCTGTGACCGGAAGGTCCCGGGTTCGAGTCGCGGTCTCCTTGCATTGCACAGGCGAGGGTAAGGCTTGCCACTAACACCCTTCCCCAGACCCTGCACAGAGCGGGAGCTCTCTGCACTGGGTACGCCCTAAGGGCACACAAAGCTTGATGAAACACAGATGTTCTAGAATGCATGCTTTGAAAGGAAAGTAAGTTATATTTGAAGCATTTTCCATGCACCTAATAAACACATGGAGTAGCAATCTACCTGTGAAGCGAATTATGAGAAGAATTAACACATAATTAATGTTTTACCTACCATGGTACTATTGGTGGCGCGGAGAGCTTTGCTCCTTCCGCTTTCGCATCCGATCCACGGAACTTTATTTTAACTGAATGCCATTGTAGTGTAAACGAATCCAATAGTCATAGGCGCACCTTCTCGCAACAACCCTCTGCATATAGTCACAGCTTATATCTATAATCTGTATATTTTGACTACCTAGGCATAAACATCATCACTACACAGCGTGTAAAAATAAATCAATCAAATCCGTAGCAGTTTGGTGACAATTATTCATACAAATTTAAACAAGCAACATAACCTTCTATACAGTAAGCAGTATTGAGGAGCTAGATGTCTTATAATTTTAAATGCCTAGAGAATTTGATGGCCTGCAAAAGTTTTTTACACAGCTCTTCAAGGTGCCAACATATTATTTCCATCCAAGTAATACTCGTAACTCTGCATGCTTGAAAAGGTAATTTCCTCACGCAGCAACCACATTAAACTACTGAAGAATGCAAAATAAAAGGAGCCACCTGGAGAGTCTGCAGAGGCTAACCCTTACACTTGAGGGTTCTAGATCAACCAAATATTTATTTCTGAAAGATATCAACTTATGAATGAGTAGAGATACGACGATCTGACATTCTAGACATTGGTTCTACCATAAAAGGTTGCTTATCTGGATGGACATCCTCCCAAGATGTAGCACAGTTTTTGGTTGACGTTCCACCTGTTGAACATACCAAATAATCGTCCTGTTCTTTGGCTGGTTCATGGTGGTTCCTCGTCCTAGGTAGTCATTTCTGTTGAATAGCCAATCTCCTATAAAATCTCAGCTTTGTTATTGACGTATCTCACTAGCTCCATCCAAATATTTGCTTGAGAGAGGCTCCTCTGTCATCTGCAAAGCTTTGATTTGAGCCACATTTTTTTTTGAAGCAAGAGCCGCATTAAACTTGGGGAGATGGTTGCTCTCTCTCCTCTTGTTCCTCACCCACAACCACAGCGATGTAGTGTGCCAGGAATCCTCCCAGTCACATCAACATGTGCTTGGTGTTTTCTTTTCATCTCCTTAACTGATAGCGCAGCTTCTTTGATCCTTGCTTGCAGGCAGTGTCTGTTACTATATAGGTCGTAGACGACACTGGGAGCAACCTGGAGAAAACATCTAGTACTCCATGCTATTTGGGTGGTCCAATGTTCTAGGTGCTTAACACCAACTGGTTCAAAGTTCTTGATTCAGCAAAATGGGATACTATAAACTGGGTAAAAGTTATGTGATCCTGTAAACAAATTGATGAAAAATGGACAATTATGGATCATCTAATTGTATATAGAGAGTAAACTTCGATAAAAAGAAATTAGAGGACAAGGCAATTGCTAAGGTATAAAGATAGAGAGTAAATGCATCCAGGTCCTTTTTCGGATTCTCATCTATGTCCACGAACTCTCAAACTGAGGATTTGGGTCCTTAAACTTTTAAAGTGGTTCACTCTAGGCCCAATTATGGACCTGGATTCTCAATTGGAGTGAACCATTTTAAAAAAGTTTAAGAATCTAGAGCCTCACTTTAGAGTTTGTGGAGCTAGGTAGGTGAGAATCCTGGAAAAGTTTAAAGACCATAGGTGCATTTTACTCAAACATAAATGTATTGAAAATCGATAAAAATATGACACGAATGGAACATATTTTGTTGTTTTCATCGGGAATGCTTACCCCAACTCCTGCCTCACAAATTGCAGCTTGTTCAGAAACAAACTGGCCATCCCATTTGAAACAAATGGAACATAACATGGCCCAGAAAAATGTGTTGCTATTTGTTATGCTATTGATTTTTCTACTTAGATCATCAGAAACCTTGCATCAATACAAGATATATACAATAGACATAACATTAAATCTGACAACCAGAAAGAGAAACTGGGCAATATTAAAGGTACCCTATGTTTCTGGAAATTTCAACTCCAGATGGCGCGAATATTTCATGAGCAGAAAAAGTTTCAGTTAGCTGATCTATTGCCCTCCAAACTAGTCTTCAGGGAGGATAGAAGGAACACCTGTTCTACAGTAGCCCAAACACCTTTTTTGCCACTGTAGAGAGTGGCTTTCTTACTGAAGGTTGATTATCTAAGTTCTCAAGGCCATCTCCCCAAGTTATATCACCCTTGTCAATTGTTGTTCCCCTTGTTGGATTATCCATCAGACAATTTCCATGTTCTTTGGTTGCTTTAGTATTATCTGGTGCTTCCTCCACTGTCATTTTTGTTGAGTACCCAACCTCCTCGGCTTCAGATTTACTAGCCATATCTGGTAAATAACCAATCTCTTCCTCAGTCTCAGCAGGGTTATTATCCTCATTAACTTCATGAAAATTTTCAGATGATGGCAGCAAAGGCATCATATCTTTAGTCAAGACGAGAGGCTCCATTCTGTCTTCTGTAGAAATTCGATCCACATCAAACGTTTGATGCTGGTTCCCTTCTTGGTCTTCCTCATCATAGTGACGCAGTTTGCTAAGAATCCTCCAAGTAACAGCATCAGGTGCTAGTCCATTTCTTTTCACCTCCTTAACTAACTGGTATGCTAGCTTATTCGATCCCTGCTTGCAGGCAGCGTCTATGAGTATGTTGTAGCACACTACACTGGGAGCAACCCCACAATCCACCAACTCATACATGAAATCACACGCCTGTTCCAGTTTGCTCTGTTTGCAGAGACCTCTGAAGATTGCACTGTATACATAGTTATCATGTATCCCTGACGGCCAGACGACATTGTCCCAGAATTCCTTTGCCTTCTCGAGCAGCGCTGCATCACAGAGCCCTTTGATCACAACAGTATGAGTCACAGAATCAGCAGAGATCTTATTGGCACTCATTTCCTCAAGCACCTGCATTGCTGTATCAACTTGCCCAATGCCAAACAATCCCTTGAGGACACAGTTGTAAGTAACAACAGTTGGGGAGCACCGACGCCTAGGCATCAAAGAGTGCAGCACTTCAAGGGCCTCTGCATGATCACCTGCACCCAGGTATCCAGATATGAGTGTGGTGAAGGTGACAACATCAGGAGCACAAAACTTCCCACTAAGCATGTCGTCCATGATCCTCCTTGCCTCCTGGGTCCTCCCAGACTTGCAGAAGCCATGGATGACAGTGTTCATGGTGATCACATCCGGTTTGCATCCAGCCTGCAGCATGGACACAAGCACGCCAAGCTGCTCGCTCGGGTTGTCCACAACACGCAGTGCCCCAAGAAACACATTGTATATCCTTGTCCTGGTCTCCTCACCCAGTGCCCCAAGAAACACATTGTATAGCCTTGCCCTGGTCTCCTCACCCGCATCTCCACTACTGTCCTGGCCACACCGAACGGTTGGCTGCAGCATCAGTTCCAGGACATCCTTGGCCTTGGCGAGCTCATTCTCCCGGCACAGCTCGTCCACGAGCACCTTGTACGTCACCTCCCTCGGGCGGTACCCGAAACTCGTGCCTTCCATCACCAGCTGGTGCGCTCTTAGGCAGGCGCCGGGCTTGGGGCTGGTGCACAGCCCGTGAACAATGCAGTTGTAGGAGACGTCGCTCGGGCGCATCCCTCTCTTCCTCATGATGTAGACGATCCTGGACGCGCCGTGGTGCTGCCCGGCCCGGCACAGCGAGTCGATCATCTGCGCGTACGCAAAGTCGTCGCCCACCCCGCACCGCCGCTGCGGCATCTCCTCGGCGACCCGGAACACGACATGGAAGAACCCCTCGGCGCAGAGGCACTGCACGAGGTTGGCGAAAGCGGCGTTGGTGATCTCCTGGTCCTCCCTGCCATCAACGAGCCGATCTCCGCCCGCCGTGCTGGGCGGCCAGAGGGCGGTGTCGACGAGCTCCATCGCCGCGCCGACGTCGCGGGCGCGGAGGAGCGCCTTGGCGAGGAACGAGCGCGCGAGGGAGGTGGGCGCCACCCCGCGTTCGGGCATTTCGTCGAGCAGCGTCCGCGCGGCGCGAGGGTCGGGCACCCGCGCGTACCCGTCGAGGAGCGCGGCGTAGGACACGGAGTCCGGAGCCGCGCCCATGCGGAGGAGGAGGCGGTGCGCGAGGAGGACGTGCCCCGCGCGGCAGAGGTGCGCGAGCAGGCGGTTGCGGTTGGGGAGGGAGGGCGCGGTGGGCAGCAACTGGAGGAGGCGGAGCGTGAGGAGCGGCGTGTCGGCGCGCAGGAGGCGGCGCAGGATCGCGTCGGCGGCCCGCGCGTCGAGGCGGCACGCCGGGGAGAGGAGGAGCAGGGACGCGCGGTGGTGCGCCTCCGCGGAGCGGCCGGACGCGCAGAGCGCGTCCACCAGGCGGAGCAGGTGGTCCGGGTCCGGGCGCTGGTGGTGCAGGTGCGGGGACGGCAGCGGAGGGCTCACGGCGCCCATCGCCGACGCCGGGCCGGGGCCGACCTCTGTCTCCGATCAGTCACAGTTCGTCGACGAGGGAGGAAGCGGCGAGCAGTGGGTCGGTTGGCTGGCCATCAGTGATCAGTCCCAGCTGAGAGGCCGAAAGAAGTGGAGGCCCAGCGATGGTGCCTCCAGGCCCAGGGTCTGGGCCTCGAAGCAGCACAAACAAGCATTGGGCCGACAAGGACAAGGCGGGGCCCGTTGGATTGGAACGGCTTGGACTGCAGAGATGGAACCACAGGGGCCGCTGGGCCGGGTGGAGAACATGGCCCAGGTTGACCGACCACTGGCCAAGGCGCAGCGCAGGAACAGGAACAGACTGATAGGATGACTGCTGACACTTTAACATGGTGATGACGCCTAGTGACAGTGCCGCTTGCGTTGCGTCTGCCCCAGCACACCAGCAGTGGCCACCGTTGCCCTAGGCCATTGCAGCAAGCTACTCCTACATGTCATTCAGGAGCCTGCTGCGTGTCTGTCAGCTCGATCAGCTCGGCGCTTTCGCTTTCAGCTTTCGCAGAATCCGACGCGGGCGGTGACACACTGACATGGAGTAGACCGACAGACTCGACGCACAGCCATCAAGCGCACGATCAGGCTGCCACTGCTGCCTCTACGACTCTGCCTGTCAGAGTTGACTCACTGCCACTGCTTCCACTCCATCGTCAGGGACACACAACACCACCGTCACATCACCCAATCTCCAAACCTTTTCTCTTTTTTTTCTCTCTCTCTCTCCGCTTCTTCAGTCTTCACTGCAGCCCTAGGCCTTGTTTAGATTGAGAAAAATTTCAACTCGATAAATAGTACCACTTTCGTCTTATTTGGCAAACTTTATCCAATCGTGGACCAACTAGGCTCAAAAGATTAATCTCGTGATTTCCAACTAAACTGTGTAATTAGTTATTTTTTTACCTATATTTAATGCTCTATGCAAACGTCCAAAAATTGATGTGACGAAGAGAGAGTGAAAAAACTTGGAACTTTGAAGGGAACTAAACAAGGCCCTAGCTTGCATGGAAAAGGAGAGCAGTACACGTTTCTGAATTCTGATTTCTGAAAGCAGTGATGCAGAGTGCAGAGTGCAGTGCAGCAGTGGTAGTCAGGCCTCGTTTGGTTAGCGATTTTTTTTTTTAAATGGTACAGTAGTATTTTCGTTGTTATTTGATAATTAGTGTCTAATCATAATCTAATTAGGCTTAAAAGATTCGTCTCGTGAATTTCATCTAAACTGTGTAATTAATTTTATTTTTTATTTATATTTAATGTTTCATGCATGCGTCCAAATATTCGATGTGATGGAGAATCTTGAAAAATTTTACAAAATTTTAGAAACTATACAGTCACTTAGTTCTTGCTCGTGAACGTGAATGTGAATGTGTAAACCCTGTCAGATCATGGCGCCCCCGCGAATCCCGCCCGGCTTCTTCTTCCTTCCTTCCATGGGCTGATGGGCCATGGCTGGCTCGTCCGTGGAAGCTATCGTCCCCCGGAAAACACGCATGGCGATCGGTGCACGCATGCAGACATGCAGACTGCAGTGCAGTGCCTGACTGACCTGCGAGTTGACGGCCGGCCTGACGGGCCTGTCTGAATCTGATTCGACCCAGCTGCCTTTGCGTGTGCGTTTTTTCGCCCATCTCTTCAGCCTTCATGGCTGCAGGGCAGGCTATGGACGACGATGGCCATGCTCCGCTAGCTCTCCTCGGCCTCCTCGTTGCTTGTGCGATGGTCTGCTGCCCGACAGCGGAAAGGACGAAGACGGCCATGCTCGTGCAAGTACGTGCACTCCTCGCTCGCTGTTTTGTTCGTTGTTCCTTTCCATGCATGCTTCCTTTGCGACGTCGACGACGTTGCCACAGCGGAAACGTTGCGTGCTGCATGTGCTCTATCATTTGGTGCTACGCTACTGCAGTAGTCGTCGTACGTAGTCCTTGCTGTTGCATCGATTTTGGAGCAAGTAAGAGAAGATAGCTCAACTACCAGCTGGACAGGCGCATGCTAGCTCGTCCTTGCAAGTTTCACCAAAATAATTGTACTGTACATGTACGTGTTGAGAGAACGTTCACAGAGTTGTGGTATATGTTTAAGAGAATTACACGATGCAACTACGAGATAATATCCGTAGAGCTGTAATATGTACTATTTCACTAAGAGAAAAAGAATTACGCGACCCAAAACTACGAGAGAACATTCGTAGCGTAGGTTATATTTCAGGAACATGCATGTAATCCTCTCTGATTATCATATTTAGATTGGTGATAAATATTAATGATAGGTAATATGCATGTGAATGATACCTTTTTAAACTGAGTTAGAGAGTTAGTTCATCTAGAATCCTTTGTAATTTAAGGACAAATTTTGAATTCTTAGATACCTTATATTTCAAGATAGAGTGAGTATAATTATAAACACTACTTAGGTGTGTATATATAAGTGAGTTATATTTTCCATCACTAGTCTAACTGAGCAGATTAGGTGTGTATGTGCTTGGGATCATGTTGTTGTTCCAATGTGTCGTCACACATGCTTGAGCTGGTGCCTGATGGTTAATGACTTGCCACCTCCAGTTTGTTAGTGTCGGGGAGTGCAAGCCCGTGGTTAGGGAAGTTATCTTGGAAATCAAATGGAGCTTTTTGCATGCAAGTTTAGGCAGAGGTAGATGGTGGTGGTTTGTTTGTTTGTTTGGTGAGTTAGAAGATGCAAATCCATTGTCTTCGGGAGCTAAGTTGTTATGCCCCCTCGTTGTACCACCCCTAGGATGTGAGTAGTTCGTTTAGTTCTTTTTACCTAGCTTGGCAAACCTGTCTAATCTGGGAAGCTGGTTGCGTTGCATGCGCATGTAATTCTCTCTTCTCCTTATTAATATGTGAAGGCCATGTTCCGAATCTTAAAAAAGTGTTAAAATTGCATAGATAAATTAGGTCCCATGGATACTCAAAATTGCTTATCTTTGTTCCCTCTCTCATTTATTCATAATTTTAAATAGTACTCATAGATAATTTAGTTAACACAATGCTCGTGGATAGTTTTACAATTGTGACAAACTTTAGTTTTGTTTTCATCGTTATTCAAGTCTCTCCTCTTTACATGACACCTCCATTAATATTTTATATGACTTGAGTCAAAACCATATTTTGAGCTATGTGTTTGATATGTAAATAAAATATTACGCATAATATCCTACACAAATGTATGCGAGGTCTGCATGGTGACACACATCATATATGCAAATGTTGATTTTGTTTTTATATGTTAACAATGGCAAAATGAGGTGGTAATTTAGAATTATATGTACCTTGCTTTTTTAATAGTAACAAAGGTATGTAATTTAGATGTTGATTTAGGATATTTTTTTTGTAAATAATGGCAGCTGTGGATAGTTTAGATCTAATAAATTTAGAATTTTACTTTACAACATTTTTCATAAAGACATAGACAGGTAATCTAGATGAAGATCTATGGTTACCTTAGGTGTAGAAGGGGATAATTTAGGTATATATTTATGGTGCAATTTTAGACAATTTTACATAATGGAACATGTGGCAATTTGAACGGCGCCTGCCGACAGCAGCACGAGGACGCGGCAGGGCACAGTGTGCAGCAGTGCGCGACACAGGGCGTGATTCGTCTCGCTGTGGTGTGCGAGTGCCTAGGCGGCTGCGCTACCGGACAGCGGGCGGCTGAAGCGAAACGGCGAGCGCGCGGGAAGGGCATCGACAACCCGACAAGGTGGTAGCTCGATGAGACGGCCATGGCGCAGGCGCAACGACACAGCGTGCAGCAGCAGCACATAATGCGCGGTGTCGTGACGTGCATAAACGCGACAGGTTTGCGTGGCGCTGGCCGAGCACGGCGCGACGGAACGCGACAAGACGCGGGCACAGCGGCTCAGCGTGACTGCCCATGCGCGCCCATCAACGCAGCAGCGAGGCATCAATGGCGCACAGCAAGGCAGGCAGCGTCGGTCAGTCGGGTCGCAGCCGGCCGAGACCGGTCGATGCCACGGCGTGCGCGGCCGCAACCGATCAGCACTCGGCGGCATGGTGACCGCGAACACAAACCGGAAGATGAAAAACGGTGGCGTGCACGCTATTTAAAGCAAACCAAAAACCACTTAAAACCCGACCAAAGCTAAACCAATTTCACGAACCTACTATCCGCACCACCGGCTATCCAGCGAAGCAATTCACACAACAAACGGGCCACCTGAGAGGAAGATGAAAGCGCGCCAACTTGGGTTCGTCACTCGGCACCAGTTCACGAACTGAGTTCCCAAACATGGGTTACAACGCGTTTCAAAAGAACTTCGGGATACTTTTGGGGTAACCCCGCAACGTCACACCAACCTACAAACTACACCAAGCCAAGGCACTCGCCGTGAATCATCAAACTATACAAAAACAGGGATGTACTGTTTAATCATTTTTGTTAAATTTTAAATGCTAAAGTAGCATCGTCTATATCGTCCCTGACTTAGCAATTGACGAGGGACTCGTTAGAACTTAACGCCTGTTAACACTTTTGTCTTAATTTTTACAAGGTTTAAACCTCGTCGACTTCAACTAATCAACATAGTATGACATAGTCCATACTTCATACTAATTCGTGGAACAAAATATTAAACACAACTCATTAGTTTGCCGACTCAATGAAATTCCATCTTTGAGCTATCAGAAATACCATGGAACAACACCTATTCATCAAATCCACAGTTGCACTTCGAATTTATTTAAGTACTAAATACAAGTTATATTTTATCTTTGTTTATAAAAAATTGTTCTTCATGCTTAATCCCATAGAACAAACCATCCGCTACTTATTTGCTAGAATTGTTGCCCAACATTCCCAAATATCTTTACGCACTGAGTAATTTAACTTGGGTGTTTATTTGAGTCCACAAAACTAAGTCACACAGGATTCACTTATCACATCAAGTATGTTTTAAATCAAAAATCCGAGAAACCCGTTTCAGAAAT